TACATTTAACAATGTCCACTCACTACACAGTCTCGAATAAGGACCAAACGAGATATTACGAGACATAGCAAGTGGAACGAGAACAGTGTATCCGGTAATTGTTATCGCTGTTTCTATTATTGAGGGGAATTCCCTTTCAAATTTTTTGTTCTGTGTAGTGGGGAAAATTAACAGTTTGATTATGTCATTATTTTCAATTCATCTTACATGCGCCCTTCATTTTATTTGAAAAAGCTCTTGAATGCTTCTTTATAAGAAAAGGGTTCTTATTGGTATTACCATTGTGATTTTATCGCACCAGTCTATAGGTATTTTATAAAGGATACATTTTATGCGAGTAATTCGTTTGAAGCCATTTTAAATATATAGCTGAGAAATCAGTCGGGGTTTAGGCATTTAGATATCTTTGAATCGTTTGGATGTCATGCAAAACATCCATATAAAAATCAAAATATGATGACTTCAGATTAATACTTCTTTGTCTATAGAGGATCTTACAGTGCGAGGCAAAATTACCATTAGCACAACTTATAACCAAATGGTGATAGCAGACACAGATAGAGAATAAATGATTGATTCATTTTCTACGGCTTATCAACCCTTTGCAGGTTATTTAAAGCCAGAAAATAAGAGACAAGTAGACATGATTAAAGGAGACGTTGATAAAGATTTGAAACAGAAAGGCGGATAGACATGTGGAAATTGAGATAGAAAGATAAGAATAACCCAAGTCGATAGATAGATATAAAGATTTCATTGATTGATTCATTCATTTTCTACGGTTTATCAACCCTTTGCAGGTTATTTAAAGCCATAAAATAAGAGACAAGTAGACATGATTAAAGGAGACGTTGATAAAGATTTGAAACAGAAAGGCGGATAGACATGTGGAAATTGAGATAGAAAGATAAGAATAACCCAAGTCGATAGATAGATATGAAGATTTCATTGATTCATTCGTTTTCTACGACTTATCAACCCTTTGCAAATTATTTTAAAAAAGAGAAAAATAATTTTAGATTTAAGAATTTTGTTTTGCAGATACTAGTAGTTTAGTGATACATGTTTTACTAATTAACCCATAGTTGGGAATGGATCCCTACCTTTCCTAATGGTATTTATGCGTAGGTGAATAAGACGAATCCAATATGAATTGGAACTCTGTCCTCCGACTAACATTTCCTTACCATTATCCATTACACCAACCGCGCATCCAGGCTTACAGCACCCGGTACTCTTAAGTAGTCACCCATCTACAACGTGACTGCCGAAACTTCAAGAAAAGAATGTAGTATAGGAAAGCGAGAAGAAAGGACTAAGCATCAACGGTAAAAAAAAACATGATGTATAGTTGTCAGCAAAAGAAAAAGCCCAACACGAGAATTACAAATTGAAAATATGAAAATTAAACAATTATTAAAATTTACATATCTAGGAAGTATTTTAACAGAGGGTGAAAAATGCGACACCGAAAGCCGAGATATTGAAAGATGTCTTCCAAAAGCTAAGCAAAGTATTAAGTAAATAAAATTTCTTTAGTAACTTAGAAAAACATTCTGAACTGTTATGCAATATGAGTACTCTTATATGACAGTACATGCTGGACAATCTCCTCACAGATGAAGAAGCGACGTGTGGCAACAGTAATGTGGTTCTACAGAAGGATGCTGAGAATATAATCGACGAAACATTCGATCAGCGAAAAAGAACATTGTTTTCAAGGAAAATCGAAACAAAAAGGTCATATGCAGCTTCAGAAAGAGACAGATGATATTGCTAGGATAAATAATGAGGAAAGAGGGATTGGAAAATTCGACACTCACAGGACATGTTGAAAGCAAGCGAGAAAGTTGATAGCAGTGCATAACCTGCCTAACGAGCTTGTGTAAATGACTGCCAGAAGAGAGATTAGAAGAGATAGCGAAACTATTAAGAAAGAGCTACAAGGAGTTTGTGGAGCCATGATCGCTAGCGTCTTGAAGAGTCACAGCACATAAGAAGAAGAAGTTCCTCTGTATCATCTCCTATAATAGGGATGGACAAATTACGCTCACCGGAAGCAGACAGCCCCACTTGATGATATCGTCAAGATCACAAGTAACATTCTTTTTTTTTCTTTTTAAAAGCTCGTTAAATAAAATTTGATAATCTTTAGTTTATATGTTGCGCAAAATAGTCATCTTTTCAAAACAGGAACAACGAGAATAAAGACGCAAATTCCCTGCATTTTTTTTTAAGCATTTCACCCCAAGCAAGACGGGAAGCCACTAGGACGCAAGGGGTTACAGAAAATTTAGAGCAAGATCAGATAGGAGTGATAGAAGAAAGGATGAGGGTAGTGGATAGATCAAGGCAACTGGACGATTAGTAGACGATTAGTAGACTTATGAACGATTTTGGTGGGAAAATTCGTTTCGCACGACAATGAATCAACTACCCGATCAGCGGGTCCAGCAAAACTCGGAATTTGTCTATGATATGCTTGCTATACATCAGCATTAATAACCCTGAATTTCCTTTCCCTGGGTTCGAACTTGTTCTGACGTAACTATTTCGGCCAAATCAGAAGCCACTGAACGGTGTGTTATAAAACTGTTTATTTATATATTTATCTATTTTTGTTTGTGTACATTCTCAAACAGAAGTTTCTGTTTTAAATACGTGAGCGGTAATTTATAGCGGCCTGATCAGTGCCACCTGCAAAGGAGAAAGGAGAAACAAATGAAAGAAAAAAAAGATAATAGTCAGAGAAAGGCAGAGAGAGTGAATGAAAAAGCGAGAGAGTGTGATAGGAAAAAAAATGGATAGATAGATGTGAATTGGTTCAGTCAAAGATGACGACTGGCTAATTACTAAAACGAGATTAACCGAGATTTGAGTCACGGCACAACCAGGTGTGATTCCCAGACTGAGTTTTGCAGGTGGACAAGGTGAGGCAAGAATGGAATCTGGACATGTTTAGAGTCGTCACGAAGATTCTAAGTGCTTGTGAACACAGAGAGCCATTGAAGAAGAAATGGTTTATTCTTTGCAATCTCACTCACTCACTCTCTCCTTCCGCCCCCACTCTTTCTTTCTCTCTCTTTATATATATATATATAGAGAGAGAGAGAAAGAGAGAGAGATTCACATGATATATATATATATATATATATATATATATATATATAGAGAGAGAGAGAGAGAGAGAGAGAGATTCGCCTTATATCTTTTCGTCTCGGATGCGACCTGAAATTTTTTTCCCAAAAAACAAAATAATTTCCAAGCCTGAAGATGACTGAATGTACAGACGAAAGTACTTGCGTATTAAAGAAAAACCTTATACAGCTTATAATTTTTAAAAACAAGGATCATAACATTCATCGAGGGATTTGTATGCACCTTTAAAATTTTGTTAGCGGAGGGATTTCGCCATTTTATATCATTAACTTTACTAATCTACTTTTTGTGTGAAAGGTTCATTTGATATATATATATATATATATATATATATATATATATATATATATATATATATATATATATATATATGTGTGTGTGTGTTTTTTTTTTTTCTCTTTCATTAAAGACGACGGACAAGGTACTACGATTAAGCTTTCTTATTTAATTTTTCTTGTGTTCGAACAAGTGTTTTCTTTTCTGGACACACAGTGCGTAGAACCTGACCAAATATTCCGTAATTCCGTGCGCTTTTGGCGATACTTTTAGCCATTATTTCTAAGTGAAGATTCATTTTGTTTGTATTTGATGGGGTTTTTTTTTGTAGAAAATATTTATGTTATTTTTGCCTGTGTTCCCAAAGTAAATAATAATGATAATGGACACAGCCAAAAAAAAAAAAAACACTGAGAGAGTATTTAAGTTGAACGATAATGTGCTTACTACACTGTGTAGAGCAAAATTAAAATATCTAAAGTTCCAGAACCTGTCTAGCTATGTGAAACCTAGGAAGAAAGTTCAGGGTCTTTAGGTATTATATATTCGGCCACAGAGAATAGGTTAAAGTACGCCAAATAAATGACGGTTCCGTATAGGATACGGGTTCGATTCCTGTCGGAGGACGAATATTTTCTATGAAAATTTCTCGGACATTCAGGCCGGTAAATGTTGTTTAATACTGTTTATTATAAACAGAGTATTTATTTAAATATTTCTATCTATAAAAAGAATGCATAAACATAAAAAAATGTCTTAAAATAACGGACTTTTCATTATATATATATATATATATATATATATATATATATAGCACATTTACGTTCAACTTTAGTACTTTGCCGTTTTTTTTTTTTTTTTTTTTTTTGATTGTGTTCACTATCAGTGTTACTTTGGAACACATAGTCAAACATAACATAAATATTTTCTACAAAAAACAAATGCGCATCAACTACAAACAAGATGAATCTTAGAAATAATGGCTAAAAGTATAGCCGAAAGCGCTGGCATTTACAGAACATTTAGTCACTTTCTATACGTTTTGTGTCCAGAAAAGAAAACACAAGAAAAATTAAATAAGAAAGCTTAATCTTAACACCTTGTCTGTCGTCTAATGAAAGATATATATATATATATATATATATATATGTGTGTGTGTGTGTGTGTGAAAAAAAGTGAAATTTTTATTTTAATATCTTTCAACGATGATCTTGTCTCCTCAGAAAAAAATAACATATTTTGCACGACCAAAATATACATGAGCAAGATGAAACGTGACTTAAGTTTTTCAGCGCTTGCCTTTTTTTCTTTTTTTTTTTCTTTTTTTTTTTTAACTTTAACTACATCGTTATATAAATTAGACTTTCAGTTCATTTTCTGATTTTATTTATTTTAATGTTTTGATGTATCCGGCATTTTTCCAGTACGAATTTAGTATGAAAATGTCAGTAACTGAAGCTGGTAACTCTCTTCCCCATGGTCATTTCAATTTACGATTTCTACTGCAACAGGTTTTGTAATCTTTGTTAATCCATGTTAGTGTTTTTACAGACTCGAGCCAGAATATGGCCGAGGTTTTTTTTTTCCTAGACATAAATGAGTTCGCAATTATATTTTTTCACGCATGCGTAAGCAGTCATGGTTGAATGGCGTACAATGCGAGTGTTGCCGATGGGATGTGTGTATTCTTACTGATTGTACTTTTTTTTCGGCTCTGTTCATATTTTTCTTACAATAAATGATTCATTCATCTCGGTCTCTCCCTTTTTCGTTTTTCATTTTTCAAATTTATTTTCTTGTTATTTCCTCCTCTTTCTTTTTCTTGTTATTTCCCCCTCTTTCTTTTTCTTGTTAGTTCTCTTCTTCTTCTTCGTATTTTTGCTTGTTATTTCTCTCCCTCGTTTTCTCCTTTTCTTGTCCATTCATTTTTCCCTTACGCCTTTTCTTATTTCTCTTCTCTATTTCTTATTTCTCTCGTTTTCTTGTTGTTTCTATCGTTCTTCCTTTCTTTTTTCTTGTTATTTTGCCGTCCCTTTCTCTCTTTTCCTTGTCAATTTCCACCTCTTTCTCTCTTTTACTACTTTCTCTCTTTTTCTACTTTCTAGCCTCTTTCTCTCTTTTCCTTGTCAATTTCCACCTCTTTCTCTCTTTTTCTTGCTATTTTCCTGCATCTTTCTCTCCTTTTCTTTTTATTTTCCCGCCTGTTTTTAAAAAAATTATTTCTATTTTCCCCCATCTTTCTTTTTTCTTGTTATTTCCCTGTCCTTTCTCTCTTTTTCTTGTTATTGTTCCTCCTCTTTCTTTCTTTTTCTTCCTATTTTCCTGCCTCTTTTTCTCTTTTACTTTTATTTTCTCGCTCCTTTCCCTCTTTTTCTTGTTATTTTCCATCTCTTTCTCTTTTTTCTTCCTATTTCCCCTTCTTTCTCTCTTTTTATTTTCCCGCGCCTTTCTCCATTTTTCTTATTTCCTCACATCTTTCTCTCTTTTTCTCTTTATTTTCCCGCCTCTTTCTCTCGTTATTTTTCTGCCTCTTTCTCTCTTTTTCTTATTATTTCCCTGTATAAGTCTTACTTTTTCTTGCAATTTCCAACCCCTTTTTTGCTAGCTATTTATCAAACTCTTTCTTTTTTTTTTTGTTATTTCTCTTTCTCTTTCTATCGCACTTTGTTATTTTCTCCTCCTTTTTTCTTGTCTCCCTTACTCTTTCTTTTCATATGATAATGTTATATATACCGTATTTTCGAGTGCCCCGGCCAATAGACTTCATTAACACTGTTTAAAACACGGATGCCTACTCAAAATCATATATATTGTAAACATAACGTTTATAATAATAAAAAAAATGTCGAATTATAAATAAAATTAATTAATTCCTTAGAAAAGGGAGTTAGGTGTTACTTAAAAAGGATAATTGAGCCTTGTTTTACTGTGAAGTCTTTCTTGGCTTAGGGGTCTAAAGCAAACTAAACTTAAAGATGGTTTCTACAATATAAAGGAAACGGTACAGAATCGGAAAAGACGGAAAAGAAACGGGGAGAGAATATTAGCGAGATAAGAAACTAATGATAAGGAGAAATAAACACGACATTTGTTACATTGGCACATACACACACACACACGCGTACACAGGTACACGCAAATACATACACGCACAAAAATGAATGTAACATCGATAACTAGCGCAAGAATTAATTTTTATTTTAGTATAAATATAAAAGAAAATGAGAAAATCCGCAGTCAGTTAGTGATACCTCCTGACGATTGGACAGAACAACTAGAAAAAGATTAATCTACAAAGCTCGTGGTATTGAATAACCCACTAATTAACTAAGTGAGAAATTTTACTTTTTAGTATATATATATATATATATATATATATATATATATATATATATATTTAGGAATTCCTCGTAGTAAGACAGTATGTATGGAGGGGAAATATACGCACGCATATATACACGCATGCTGACAGGAACACACCAAAATAGAAACAGATCCAAGAGCACATAGGGGTCACTAAAACATTAAAAGATTAAATGCCGATAACTACTCGCTGGACAAACCTTAATTGTTTTATGACCCTTCGCGCAGAACTCTTCATTGACAATTCTAGAAAGAAAATTCGGATTACCAACACACAAACAGAGAATGTCTCATATCGAGAATATTTCACATTGAACATGAAGAAAAATTAATTATTTTTAATAATATGTAGAAATCACCACTTTTACCTGAAGACGGTCGCGAGACCAAAAACACGTGTCGTAAAATGATGTAAAACAAAGCATAATATTTTTTCTAAATAAATCCATATTACAACCAAAAACGTTTGCGGCACCTCTCTTCTTTTTAATATATATATATATATATATATATAGTTAGTTAGTTAAATCAAATAACGAGATATTGGCAATCGTACACGCGCGTGCTGGCGTGCAGACACAGGTAAGCAAATAAATAATTACCAAATTTTGACAAAAGGTGTAGACATAATAGTAATCGATGTGATTAGACAGAGCTAAGAAATATATATTAATAAATACGCATATACCTACGTTTGGTGTACGATTTAAGTTTCGTTGGTTACCCAACTCAGCGGGCACAAGATATAGCTTATTGTTTATTTTATATATATATATATATATATATATATTATATTATATATATATATATATATATATATATTACGGTTAAAACCAAAATTACCTCAGTATGAAAATTGTCTATAACTGGCTGATCTGAATTCAGTCGTATTCAGCTCTTAAGTCTTAAGGATTTACGTCTTAAGTCTTAAAACCAAAATTACCAGCCGTCTTCAGATCTTATGTCCTTAACTATTTTGTTTTCAAAAGTAAATCATTTTCATCAAAAGTTACCTGACATCGCTTTATAATGGAACAATTTTAAAATTCTGAAGCATAGAAATTTCCGTGTCGCGATTGAAAATAGTTTTAATAAATACATATATATATATGTGTGTGTGTTTGTGTGTGTGTGCGTGTATGTGCATGTGTGTTGCGGTCATTTCCCATAAAAAGTTCACTCTACTGATTTCATTCTTCCTCGGCTACTTTCTATCTATTTTAGTTCCCCCTATCTATTTATCACTCAATAGCTTATTTGTCTCAGTTTGTTCATTATCTATCTATCTATCTATCTATCTATCTATCTATCTATCTATCTATCTATTTCAGTCTCTACATTATCTATCTATCTATCTATCTATCTATCTATCTATCTATCTATCTATCTATCTATCTATTCCAGTCTCTACATTATCTATCTATCTATCTATCTATCTATCTATCTATCTATCTATTTCTATCTATCTATCTATCTATCTATCTATCTATCTATCTATCTATCTATCTATCTACCAGTATTGTGGTGGATTTCATTAACGTTTTCGGTTGAAGGTTTTCCCCTATTATTTTAATGAATTTCCTCAGTGAAAGTTTATTCGGAATCAAGTGAAATTCACCAGCACTTTCCGGACTTTTCAAGCTGATTTTGGTAATCCAGTTATCTGATTCTTTCGATTAACCTACGTATTTTTAAATACTATTATTATTATTACTATTACAATATTGAAACGCTTTGAGAGACTATCCCAAGCTTGCCAATGATGATACAACTATTAGTTGCATGTTTATGTAATGTTGTCTTTTCCATTAACTTAAAAATGTATAATTAAGTCAGTGTCACATATTGACCTAGTCAGTGAAAATTCTGTTCTTGTGGCATGGTGCCAACAAGCCTCTTCACAAGTCAATAACTTTTCAGACCATCCTCGCAGAGTAAATAATGACAATTTTCCGGCGATCTACAACCTTGTTTTGACACATCCACCGCAAGGATAAATGTTTCCCTGTATCGCGCCAAAAACTTTTTCTCGCCTGAGTTCATCCTTCAAATCTACAAATCAACCATTCCACCTTGCATGAAATACTGCTGCCATATATGATCTGGTGCCCTCGCTGTTCGCCTTAAAGTCCTCGACAACGTCCAGAGACGGATAAGCAATTTAATTGGTCCTGATCTGGAATCTCACCTTCAGTCGCTCTCTCACAGACGTGCCGTCGCCTCCCTCTGTCTTTTCTACAAATACTTTCACGGTAACTGCTTCGACGGGCTACTTTCGCTAGTTCCCAAACTGCATGAACTTAAGAGTGCTACTAGGCTGGCATCACTGTCGAAATGGTTAAATGTTGTCTTTTCTTCTACTCCAATAGCTTCATGTCTCGCACCTCCCATCTGTGGAATTCCCTTCCTATTACTTGTTTCCCTGATAGCTATGATCTCAACTATTCAAATGTAATGTCAATCGACATCTCCAGATGCCCTGACCTATTCGCTGTTCTTCTCTTCATCCTTTCCTCCATCGCGCCTCTTTACTCTCGCTCCCCTGCGTACTAGTGGCATCCCGCCTTGGGGTGAAATGCTTAAAAAAACGCCAAAAAACTCCAGTTTACCCTAAGGGACTTCTTCGTTTTCTAAATATTATTGTCATTAATTTTATTAATTGCGGTTTGATTAGTAACTGATTGCTTTCATTGGATGTTAAGAGAATCTAGGTTTCCTGGGTAATAATACAATCACTTTTGATTTTAGCAAGATTGTCAGTTCGAATCCAAGTCAGATTCATTCCATTCACTTACGCGCTAATGCCGTTCGGAAAAGTATGAATCCTCTTCTTCTCCCTCCACCACAGCTATGGGTAAATAGCAGGACAGACTGGGTTCTATAGCCTTGGGTGGCAACTGGTCTACCGCAGAAGAAAATGGGAACATATTACGTGAAATAATCTGTCTTGTCAGTCATATATCTTTCGATACATGATCGCCTACGCCTGTATCATGCATGGCACATGACTGTCATGTAAGTACCTCCAATTTTTGCTAAAACGAAACATACCATGATGAAAAAGGCTCCGGCCTTTATAAAAAAAAAAGTTTTATCGTCAAAATTTTTATGTTATTATTAAGAGAATGACCAAAGTATTTTTTATTATTTTTTGGTATTTTTTTACTCCTTTTTAGAATGTTCGATATTGTGGGCAAAAATCTTGGCTTTCTTGCGTCTTCAGGTCTGTAAATGATTAGCATAGGAATTTTAGCGTCTTTTTGACGTTAAAATACATTGTTTTGGAAATTCATACAAGAATCAAATAATTGTTTGAGTTCAATTAAATTTGCAGTACTTATTAACAAGTGAATGAAATTATTATTGAAATTTTGTTTCAGAAAATCTTCCTAAAGATGTTCTCATCTGTTACCAACACTTATATAATTTTATGAAATTTCAAGAAATCAAAATTTCAGCCTCTTCATATTTATTTTAGTTAATGAAGGAGTCCTTGGCGAATTTAAATCATTAATTTGTTTTTGTCAAACAGAAACACTATTTACGGAATGTCTGCTCTGAATCGTAAAATAAAAAAGCAATAAAACTATGACATTATTTAATTAGAAAAGCTTTTAATTGCTTTTATAAATGAGATATATTAGAGGCATTATAAGAATCAATGAAATATTTTTTCGATGGAATTTTTACAAGAATTGTTTTAATCTTTTTAAAATTTGAATTATATTATTGAGTTTTAAATCTTTTAAAATTCTGTATTGGCTTCAGCCTTTTAGATGATATTATGAAGGGAAAACTATATTTAGTAAGCTTAATACAAATCACCAAACACCAATATTTTTAAAGAATTTTTCTTTTTTTTTATATGTATAAATAAAGTATGGCCGACCATTCACAACATTATTAGATAATAAGAGCGATAAATATATAGTAAATTTAAAGTCAACATTTCTAAAATTCAATAAAACATTTGATTACAGAGAATATTTTCTTAATTTTTTAAGAACTCTGAGTACTTAAAAATTATATATAAAAGGCGCTCACGTCATTTTCTTCAATTATGCTTTACAGATAAATTCTCCGTAGAACATTCTATCTTTCAACAGCTACTACTGGGTTAAAAACACGGCTACTGTCGGGTTAAAATACATTTCTGCAATATTTTAAACTTTTTTGTTTCAAATCAGATTAATTATACATTAAATCAGCTAATAGCAAAGTATCAGAAAATATTTTATTTTTGGAAAATTTTTTAATAAAGAGATTTGCATTGCGATGAAAAACGACTAAAAAAGGCCGCTAATCAGCTATTTTAGAAAAAATAATCCTTCCATCAATTTAAATTATTTTTTGAAATGCAGCAAGTATTTTGCTTCTTGAAAATATTAAATTTAATCTATTAACTTGAAATTAAAACTAAAATAAAAGTTTCAAGAAATATATATTTTTTTTAAAATTCATTTTAAAACTTAGATGGCGCGTTTTTATTTATTTATTTATTTTTTTGTTTTTTGTTTTTTGTTTTTTTGGATAAGATCCCTACTGTCATGTGGTTGGTTTCCATTCGTCCTTGATTCTTGCACTTCAGTTTGATCACATCAATAAGCGAATTAAATATAATTCAACATTTATGAAGAATAATAATTATATTTTGTTGAATAAAAAAAATCAATCAAACAATCATACGTGTCTCATTGAATTCGATTCTGAACGTGACGGCTTGCTTCAGAAATTTAATCGAAAATAATGTCCGAAATGCAGTATACTTTATTTCATGTATAATACAGAAACTACTCAAGGAGTGCTTTTATTTTATAATTATTCTTCTTTTATGTACCGTGTCCCTTCAGGATATAGGCGATCATGTCTCTCCACAATGTCCTGTTCCTTGTAGCTCTTAATAAGTTTTCTCTTTTTGCTATCAATCCTAATTCCTATTCTGACAATCATTTATACAAGCTTATTAGTTAATTTATTCGCTGCTTTCTTCTGTCCCTCTTGCATTTAATATGCCCTGTGAGTATCAGATTTTCCAAACCAACTTTCCTTGTTATGTGCTCTGGGAATTTCAACTATTTGTTTCTCATTCTACATTATTTTTTTCCAATTTTGTTCTTGTTCACATACTCAATTCATTCAGTTTATTTTTGTGTTTCGAAATTTTAATTTGCATCTTAGTTTGATTTGTTTTGTTTTGTTTTACGGCATATCAACCTCAACGAGTCATTTAATGTCGACAACTTTTTTTTTTCCCTGGTAATATTTTTTTTTCTGTTAATATTTTTTTCCTCAAAAACGTATAGCTGGTAATATTATTTTTTCAAAAACGTATAGTTGGGTAATATTATTTTCAAAAACGTATAGCTGGTAATATTATTTTATTCAATAGCGTATAGCGGGTAATATTATTTTTTCAAAAATGTATAGCTTGTAACATTATTTTTCCAAAAAGTTATTGCTGGCAATAGTTTTTTTTTTTTTTTTTTTTTCAAAAACGTATTGCTGGTAATATTTTATAATGCTTTTTACTTCAGTTTCGGGGTTAACTATTTGCCCATAGCTGAGACCCTAACAGGTGCTACTACCCCGAGTCAAGGTGGACTTGGGAAGACTAACAATTAAGAGGTGGTTCTATGCTTCTCAAAACCTCCTGATCAGAGACCTTGCTGTTGGACTTAGTTTATCGTTTTACCCAGGACGCGGATGCAGTTTATCGCCATACCCAGGACTGAATTTGCATCTTAGGTTGTTCCTTTAGCTTACAACATTCCCTCTTCGGTCTTTTACTGAGATGAAAATCACTGTAGAGTTTGATGCAAGAATTTACACAGGAAGCATAGAATGTACATTATCAGAAAACAATTAGATAAAAAAGAAGCTTAAGGAAACTTGTTTAGGACTTTGAAGACAATGATACCATAAGTGTGAGTTCAAAATATTAAGAGTTGCTTTTATATTGACAAAGTATCCACTTGTTCTGAAAACACTAAAGCAAATAATTCTCTTGTGGACGTTTTCTACGGAATATAACGAGGCCAAAGTTCACAACTGGGTTTATGAAAAACGTTTCATTTATTTCTTTTTTTTTCTTTTCGTCAGCGTTCGACCTCTATTTACTTAGTAATGTGATCACCATCGACATTTTCGTCTTCTTTGGTGATTGTAACTGCCTGTCTTGTACAGAAGCACGATATGAGTCAACTTGTTTGTGGAATTTGTTTGTAGTCATAACAAACTTACTGGTAACAAAATGTTGGATGGGACACTGACAGTCATTGATTCCCCTGAAGGAGCTTTGTCCACCCACGAATGTTTCGACGCGAAAAGATAATTGAAAAAAAAAAAAAAAACACCTTAGAGACACGAAAAAACAAAAATTACAGCTGTAGATATCACTTTTCGGAGCGAAGAATTTATGGTTTTGATCTTTCGATGGATGGTTAATATTATTAACAGAACTTGTGTTTAAAACTAAACTAAACACACAACGTACTTGCAAAAGCTGTAGAGGTGATCTATTTTGATTGGGGAATATGTGACTTTATGGCGACGTTTTTGTAACAGTACCGTAAATTATTTTTCTAACCCAAAACAGAAGTTGTCAAAACTGTCTTTCTTTTTATCTACCGTGTTCCTTCAGGACGTAGGCGATCATGGCTCTCCACTTCTCCCTATCACTTGTAGCTCTCAATAAGTTTTATCCCTTTGCTACTTCCCGCAGGCCATGTTCTGTCATCCATTTGCTTAAGCCCGCCAGGTATGACATGGGTTGCTTTCCCTTGTCTCTTATTCCCTCTATTCGACCTGTGAGTATCAGATTCTCGAAACCCTCCTTTCTAATTACGTGTCCCAGAAAAACAAGGAGGAACATTATACTTAACATCAAGGAGAGGCAATGTAGTGTAATGGTTAGTAAGCTTGTCAAAGCTAGAACAATTACGACTGAGTAGTGAGTTCAATCCTCACTGGGTGCCCTCTACATTTGCCCTGTCCTGACTAGGAGCCCCTACTTTCGGCCTCGTGCCACGTCTAAGCTACGCTTAAAAAATGCCATTACCTATTTCTGCATTAGGAACATTATAATGCTGGAATATTTTCAAAGGTATATAATTCCCAATAATGCTGATATTTAAATGCATTTAGGGTTAGATGATTAATAAGTTCCACCGTGTTTATATAATAATAATAATTATTATTATTGTAGTTACAAAGGGCTTTATCTATGTAAAATATATGTGTTTTTTTTTTTAAATTGCTCAATGAAAAATGTCATGATGACATCTCTGACCTTAGGTTTCTGGGCAGGACCCGGAAAGAAATGTGTACACACCAGAAAGGAAAAAAAACAAAAAAACAACAACAACAATAATAATAATAATAATAATAATAATAATAATAATAAGGCATCCTATCTGACTCTTAGATGTTCCGGTCTGGTGAGGATTCTAATATCTCAGTTCCTAGATACACAACAATTTCCTCAGCACATGATCTAGTTAAAAAAAAAAAAAACCACTAATGCCAAGTATGCCCAAGACACCCTCCAAGGCAGAAAGATTCCCTGGAAATAGTCCCGAATGTGCCAACCAGAAAAGAAGCAATTTGAACTGTTACGTGCTTAGTATATTTTTCTGATTTGCCTTTCCAGGTCTTGGATATCTCCGTTTAATTGTCACCATGTTCTTCTTATCAGAACTTACGGCAATATTTATCAGAATCCATTCATGTCTGTTCTTGTACACAAGACCGATATCAAGGCGATTGCTCTCCAAACCCTTGTTAGTCAACATGATCTTACCAAACATGAGTTTCACTTGCCTATTCTGCCGTCTAGTGAACGTTCTTACCACTTCTCTGCGGACTTTTGACCATTTTTCATGATTAAACACCAGTGTATTATGAAGGCTACCTTGTCATGGTGTCGTTTCTACCCTTTTTGTGCCAACTGAATGTAGCCAGTGACAATATATTATTATTATTATTATTATTATTATTATTATTATTGCTCTTTTGCAATCATTAACATTTACGCAGTTAGCATCTGGAGTATCGTCATGGAGTTCAAGTGACAGCAAGTCTTCTTAAACCCCAAGCATACATATATATATATATATATATATATATATATATATATATATATATGTATGTATTCTCCTCAGTATATTCACTGGTTGTAGTAGTTCTGCCGTCTAGGAAAATTTCTGTTGTTGCCGGGCATTCCACTTCTTCAAGTCGCTTTGGAAATATTTCCAAGTAATTCATATATGGTGGGTACAAACTTCATATTGTTTCAGTTCTCTGACAAGTTGAATAACATGTCTTATTTTTCGTCACTTGCACTGGATTTTTCAACCTGTTACAGAATTTTGCCTTTTTTCTCGATCAAAAATTTCAGTGTTTTTCATTTTTAAAATGATTATTGTACCTGTTGTATCTTGCACAATATGAATATTGTACAGATAATTATGTGACTTTGCAACATGTCTTCGTCAGTCAATTTAAAGAGGCCAAATCGTCTACAAAATGTATATTTCAAGTGGATTCATTTACTTCCTAAACACGCAAGTGAAAAACGGCCTGGGACCCAAAAACTCGCCAACAACTGAAACTACATAGCAGAAATCCTCTTACTGTCCTGTTAAAAATATATATATATATATATATATATATATATATATATATATATATATATATATATATATATATGTGTGTGTGTGTGTGTGTGTGTGTGTGTGTGTGTGTGTGTGTGTATTTTGGCAGCATGTAAATATTGAGGCATGTGTTGTTAAAGACTACGGAATTTTTCCGTTTGATAAGCTTTTAGTTCTTTTTTGTTTTTTTGCTTTCTCGAAAGTTTCTTTATATTTAGGTCGAAGTTGTTGAAAAAAAAGCAGTCATTAGTTTTTTGTCAAGCGCTTTCGGTTGTCGTCAATCGTCATCATCGCTGTATATCCTGGTTTAAAGTAGGTTGCTTTTTATTTTTTATAAATAATATTTTTGGGTATTCAGGCAGTGTTGTTGGATTTGTTCATTAGTAATTGGGAAAGGTTGATAATTATTATTCGGAGGATTAGTCATTAAATATGCTTAAGTTTTTCTGCCATTTTTAAATCGTATTTTATTTATGTTGGGCTTTTGGTTTTTAATTGTAATGGCTTCAAGAACTTGTAAGCGTTTTTTGCAATTGTTTTTGTAAAGAATTTTCATATTTGTGATTAGGATTTTTCTTATTTCGGAGGATTTGAATCTGTTATTAGTAGCACAGTAAATTGTTATAAGGTGATATTTTATGGCGCTGGTGACATTAAGATGGTATGTAAGACGACGTGAAAGAGTTGCGGTTATGTATCCTACTTAAAAACCAAAACATATAGCCATTATGTCGGTTGACGACAACAGAAAACGCCTCGCAAAAAATAAATAAATAAAATAAAATAAAAATAAAATATATATATATATATATATATATATATATATATATATATATATATATATATATATATATATATATATATATATATGCGTGTGCTTTTCTATGAACGTTTCAAATAAGCAGACGGGTTACTATGAGATGATACATCCGTTGAAAATCAACTTACACACACCTTTAGAAAAACAGTCTTTTGTAGAGATGTCAATAATTTGCAGAATTAAATGGTACGACGAATAATTGGGACTACGACGAATTACTAACGCCTCTATAGGGGCTCCTAGCGAAATGCTTTGAAAAGGTTTACAGCGAAAAGATAAATCATAAGTGACATAAGTTTAAATAAATGATGAATTGTTTTCAGAAATATCATCTCTCCCCCGAGACTGGATAATTCTATGGGCTTTATTTGGCAGAATCGATTGTAAACAGAACGAATTGTTTTATAAGTTATAATAAATCATGTTTTAGTAAGGTTTTAATAATAGAGTAATTTTACAGGTTCAAGTGGGTGTAAATAATACGAAATATGTATCGTGAGCGAAGAAAAAAGAAAGAAAGAAAGGGAGAATTAAATAAAGAAAGACAATTCTGAAAAGAAAAAGAAAAACGTAATTAAAAATGGAAGAACAAGACAAGGAAAACTGTAAAAGAGTAAGACCTTCAAAAAAAAAAAAAAAAAGAAAAGAAGCCACATTTTAAAAAGAAAAGCAGAAAAAAGTTAGTGAAAAAGTAAAAATGAAACAAGGAAAAATTATAACAGAGTTAGACCTTCCAAAAACCGAAAAACCAAAGAAAGAAAGAACGAAAAGGGAGAAAGAAAGAAAGAAATGATAAAAAAAAGAAAGAACAATGCAAAGATTGTAACAGAATGAGATCATCAAAAGAAAAAACGAAAGCAAGAAAGAATCGAGAGAAGTAAACAGTAAGAAAAACTATAAATGGAACAGTCTTTGGAAAGAAAGAAAGAAAGAAAGAAAGAAAGAAAGAAAGAAAGAAAATTGTAAAAGGAAAAACAAGACTAAGAAGGAAAGGAAGAATGAAACAAAGAAAATTGTAGCAAAGTAAGACATCCCAAAAAACGATAAAATAAAGAAAGAAATATGAAAGAAAGAAAGAAAGAAAGAAAGAAAGAAAGAAAGAAAGAAACAAACAAACAAATGAAAAGAAATTAAAAAATTATTATAAAGAAAAGAACGATACAAAAATTCTAACAGAGTGAGATTTTCAAGAGAAAAAAAGAAAGAAAGATTCGAGAGAAAGAAAAAGAAAGTGGATCAGTCATGGGAAAGAAAGAAAGAAAGAAAGAAAGAAAGAAAGAAAGAAAGAAAGAAAGGAAGAACGAAAGGAAGAAAGAAAGAATATGACTGAGAACGAAATAACGGAAAAATAAAGGATTGAAATAGAAAAAAATCTTCTAAAAACAAAGAAAGAAACAAATGAAAAGAATTAGAAACAAGCAACAAGGATAGAAGAAAACGATTGACAAAATAAAGAAAGAAAAAAGAAGATAAAAATAAAAAATGAAAACCTTCAAAAGCAAAAAAGAAAGAAGAAAGAAAATTCGAAAAGAAAGAGAAAATTTTAGAATCGAAAATCTTAACGTAAAAAGAAGGAAAGAGAATGGATTAGAAAGAAATAATGAAAAATATATCGAGAATAAAAAAAAACAAAAAAAAAGCAGTAAAAATAAGTAACAACCCCGACCCCATTATTCCACTTTTATCTGATCGACCAGTTCGCATATCTTCGACTAGATTACTTAAGAGTTGACATTCATACATTTTGCGCAACCAATTCATCTCGGAATTCTGAATAATCTCCACGTGTCAACAAAAAGAAAAGGCATTCATAGTTACTCAGTCGGATAGTTGGCTTGAAGTTACAATGTCCGACAAATAAACCATGTATTGTCATTTGGACGATAAAGCGGAAACGAGTATTCCCTTCAAAAGCATGCACGTCTTAGTTTTAAACGCAGTTAAGCCACACCTGATCAAGTGACCGGGTATCGTACGGAACTGAGCAATCTAGTTTATTACAATAACGATTAACTTTTCGCAGCACATTATTACAGCGTAATAATTAACAAGCTAGTCTGGTTTTGGTTTGGCTTGGTTTGTTTTACGCCATATCAACGTGTTATTTAATGCCGACAATTTTTACGACTGCTATTTTTTTTCAAAAATGTATAGCTGGTAATATTTTTTTCCCTTCAAAAATAAATTACTGGTAATATTTAATTTTCAAAAAATGTATTGCTGGTAATAATGTGTTGCTGGTAATAATTTTTTTACAAAGTATTTCTGGTATTAAAAACTAATTTTACACTTTCATAGTGTTTTGACCCCAGTTTGGGGGTTAAATATTAGCCCATAGCTAGGACCCTAACAGATGCTACCACCCCGGTTCAGGGTGGACCTGGGAAAACCAGCAATTAAGAGGTGGTTCCACGCTCCTCAAAACCTCCAGATCAGAAGCCTTGCTGTTGGGCGTAGTTTATCGTCATACCCAGGACGGGCTAGTTTGATCTACCGTTATTACAGAATAGAGATTTGGATCCTCGCCGGATGTTCCATTCTTGCCATCATCATCATCATCATCATCCCTCTGGGGAACCTGAGGGCAGATGAAACATACAACCCCTCCAATCTAATCAGTGGCTCTCAAGAATTCCAGCATTGTCATGTCCGTTCATTATTTCTCTAAAAGCGTAGAGGTTGCGAACGTTCCATCTTCTGATGGTTTTACTCTGCGTTGGAAGCTTGATGTCGCTCGTGTCGCACATTCGTCACACAGATTTGGTTCACCACTGTTGTAGCCTGGTATTAACCGCTAGGGTAATAACTGGCCTTATCCACTGGGACATGTGGATAAAGACGTTGGTTAGATCCAGTGACTAGACAGAAAGAGTTGTGAGTTTAATACCAGGTCACAGTAGTGGTGAACCATAAACTTGGAGAGTTCAGTCAAAGGGAAATAAGTGAGACACAAACTAGAGCAGTAACACCGGATCATATGTGACAGCAGTAATACCGAACCATATGTGGCAGCAATAACACTGGACCATATGTGGCAGTAGTAACACTGGACCATATGTGGCAGTAGTAACACTGGACCATATGTGGCAGCAGTAAGACCGGACCATATATGGCAGTAGTAACACCGGATCATATGTGGCAGCACTAACACTGGACCATATATGGCAGTAATAACACTGGACCATATGTAGCAGCAGTAACACCGAATCATATGTGGCAGCAGTAACACAAGACCATATATAGCAGCAGTGCCACCAGAGCATATATGGCAGCAATAACACCGGACCATATGTGGCAGCAGTAACACCGGATCATATATGGCAGCAGTAACACTGGAGCATATGCGGAAGCACTAACACTGGACCATATGTACCAGCAGTAACACCCGACTATATGTGGCAGTAATAACACCTGACCATATATGGCAGCAGTAACACTGGACCATATGTGGCTGCACTAACACCGTACCATAAGTGGCAGCACTAACACCGGACCATATGTAAGATAGATTCTGGAGCTGCAGGTGACCAATCACCGTTTCCAGCCTGGATAAAGTTCAAAAGTATCTCCATGTCTTTATATGTGATGAATTATTTCCATCCTAAAACCACTTTTTTCACAATGAATTGTTACAAGCCTCTCGCTACTTTATCACGATTTCAATTGAAAATCTTCAGACGAGATATATTCCTTAGTTACAACAGTTCAGACTTTGTAAAAGAGACCGCCATACTACGTACACAGGGTCGTCTCATGTCCATCCTTCTTATTTCATTAGTAAAGAGGAAGTCAATTTCAATTCCTTCCTAATAATTCTTACTACGTAAAACAAACTCCTGGGACGATGCTTTTTGATCAGAAGGATATTAACCTCTCCAAGTCTAGGTTAACCGTTATCTCTATCCTCGTAATCTGCAGATAATTCCTCCTCTTAAGTATTTACTACAATCTCACTCAGTCACATGAATAACACACTGTGTTGGTTTTGCATTGGGTACCAGGCGCGGTAAGCTTGATGTGCGGGTGGTGTAATGGATAATGGCTTCGAACTGTTAATCTAAAAATATTTTCTGGATTTAACTAATCTTCAAATCGTTGATAAAACCTTGAAAATGAATCAGTCATTTGTATTGGGTAGACATTTAGCAAAAAGAAAAAGGACACAGGTGCATAAACGTGGATAAGCACGGCTCTCCCCAACTTCCTGTCTTTTGTTGCTCTAAGTAACTTAAAATATCCTCATTCATATGATTTCCCCATTCCATATGCCTGTTCCTGTTAACCTCTGAAATCAAGGGCTTTTTTCTTGCAACTCGTCTTCGATAGCCTAGCTCTTTCAGAGTCTTTCTCACCGTATATGGCAACACTTCCATGCTGTCGGCAACATCTTTGACGCTCTGAAGACGGTTTCTGATGACTTCCATCCTCAGCGCCATTTTCGTTCACTCAGACACGACGCTTAGTCTTCCTGAACGTTTTTCCACGCGACAACGGCCCTCTTCATTAAATTTTTTGAGAATATTATTAACCGTTTGATAATTAACTTGGAAAAACCTAGAAATTTCTCTATTTGATTTGCCACGCTGATGTCATCCTATTATTTGCCATCGTTGAAATTCACCAATTTCCTTACTTCCGCGAACTTTCATTGCAAAATATAAGTCAACTATTGTTGATAGATGAGAGTGGCTTGAAATTAACACGCTATTGTCTGAAAAAAAGAGGAGACGTTATTAAACAAGCCAAAATTGCTGTAATCAAGGGTGGCTAAAAACTTATCATAGCCGACTGTATGTGCATACTTAGTGAAAATATGTTACCTTCAACAAAACGTTACAACATTTAAGAAATATTCTATTTAATTATTGTTATTTATGTCGTTATGTAAGAGAAAATGCGAGTGAATAAGTGAAAAACAATGAAACAGCATTTTAATGAAAGTTATTTTCCTCATTTCCTTAAGTGCGCCATTCTGAATGCCAAACGGATTACATGAGCACCGCGGACCGTCGTTTGCGCATGTCTGTTCTGGATGATCTGTTCACATTTCTGGCTTATCGCTTTTTAAGTTTTTCTCAAAATTATGTTTGTGAAATTCTTAAATCGAGATTATGTTCGTCTGGTGATCTTACTAATATTTCAAATTTCTTTTTCGATCAACGAAATCCGAAGGCACATTGGAATAACAAAAAAGCTACATTTCAAAATGTAAATAAAGTATTAAAAAAAAACAGAAAAATTGCAAAATATAAGTCAACTATCGTTCATAGATTAAAGTAGCTTGATACGAACATGTTATTGCCTGAAAAGAAAGAAGATGCGTTATTACACAAGCCAAAATTGATGTAATTAAGAGTGTCTAAAAACTTATCATAGCCTACTGTTAGGACAGTTTTCGATCCCTTTTTAAATATTTAGTTTCTGGAAGGCATCATTAGATATTCCTCTTCGCCTTCGAATTTCTGTAACACATCTGCCGCGTATTACTACGCGCTCCAGATAGTTAATTTCTGCAACTGCTTGGTTTTGACATCTCCAATACGTAGCTTGCATTTTTAGGCTGCTTTTTTTGCTGACAACCATGTCTTTCATATTCTTACAGTTAATGATATACTTTTAAGTAGAATAAAAACTAGCTGCTGCTAACAATCATATGTAAGCAACGCTCTCTATTAATCATCTCAAGGAAACATTTTTGTCTTCCATCAATATGGCTGATGCTAACCTCCAGAAAATGCATGTCACTGCGTCTTCTTGGTCTCACATATTAATTTGACATGCAGTGCAATGATTATATTGAAATAATTACTAAGTCTGCTGTGAAGAAATCACTATGTCAAGCTAGACAATTTTTCTCACCAGAATTAATCTTTCACATTTATAATTCTACTAGTAGTCCGTGGATCGAATATTGCTATCAAAACTGGTCTGGTGCTTCTACTCTACATGTAGAGATTCCTGAAAAAATACAAAGAAGAATCAGTAATGTTACTGGTCCTAACCTGGCATCTCGGCTTAAGTCACTTTTCTACACCCGCGTAATGCTTCCCTGTGCCTTTTCTATAAATATTTCTTCAGTAATTGTTCTTTCGTATTTCAGCTTCACGAATTTAAGCACAGTACTAGATTGGCTGTTAAGTCTTCTAGATGTAATCGTAATCTCTTCTAACTTGGAATTCACTTCCGGCTTTCCTGTCAACCACGATCTTCAGAAATTTAAATGTAACGTCAATCGGTATCTGTCAATATTTCTGAGATGAGGTATTATGTACACTATTTATATTATTCGGACTATTGTCTTCATCTTTGTCACCATATTTATTACAGCGTTTCTTCAAGGACACATGGCGCAGTGGATAAAGCCGTTGGTTAGATCCAGTGACAGGACCCAAAGAGTGTGAGTTCAATACCCGGTTAAGGCAGTGGAGAACTTGCAGAGGGAAATTAACAGGAGATAACTGACATCCATTAGACATGGCACGTGGATCTAGAACAGTCTACCCCAGTGAGCGAAATAAAGGGTTCAGTTGGACATTTCAACCACCTGAAGAAGGCCGTAGCGCACAACGGCCAAAACGTTGTAATAAATATGGCGACAAAGATGAGGACAATAGTCCGACTAATGTAAATAGTCAAGGTCAATCGTTATATCCTGTCTTCTTTAATGCCTGTTTGTTTCTTGTCCACTCTGTATTTTTCACTTGTGGTATCCCCTTGTAGTTTAGTGACTTTTATCATCTTGCTTGGTGTGAAAGGATTTAAAAAAGAAAAAAAATATCTTAAATTTTGGGGGCACTTAAAGAGGAAAATGCGCTTGGAAATTTAAACACCCACAAATTATATTGAAACTAAGGGAAGTGTGGGGAGAAACAGTGA